GATTCTTAACCCCCACTGCCCTGCAATGGGAATTACAGCACTTGGCTCCTGGTAAGCATCAATCCATCATGTCTGCACAGACAGGGTGGCTCACGTGAGTACCTGAGCAGGCAATGGACCTCTTTTCTCCCTTCTGTCAAAAACATATTCTAAGGCTTGTAAAGACTGCTCCTAGGAATGACCAGTTAGAGCACTTAGAACTTCTTTTATCATGCAAAGTCCTGCAGAATGCAGCTCTCCCTGGTACAGTGTGATTGGGTCTTATTCAAATTTGTCAACAAGCAATATAATCCATCTCCATTCTGAAACCTCAGGGCCCAAACTTCCTCAAATTATCTCAGCTTTTACTGGGAGACAGGATGTTCATGGACCACTTCACTTTTTGGAACTCTGAGGTGGAAGTTTCTAGCAGTCTCATGCCTGAACTACAAATGCCTTGAGGCACACTTGAGCCTGTCAGCGGGGTACAAACCTTGGTTCTGCTATTTCTTAGCTGTGTGACCCTGGACAAGTTTCTTAACCTCTCTGCCTTAATGATTCCTCCTGTAGAGGTAATAGAACCAACTTCAGGTGTTGTAAGGATTACAAGAATCCGTGTGAAGTGCTCAGGTTGGTGTCTGGCATGTGGTAAGTGCTCTGTAGATACTGCTGCGATCATTACAGCATGACCCTAAAGAGGGGCTTTAGTTAAAAGACAGAGATCCCTTCCACTGATTCAGCTCAATGTTCAGCTAACAAATGGACTTCGGTCTCTAGTAAACTCAGTGTAAGCCAATGCCTGGACCAGGAAATTGCCACCTCCACAAGAGAGCTTCTTCCTCAGGGCCCAGGGAGGAAGTCAACTCATCTTCCACTTGCCTTGCCCCTAGTCAGACTGGAAATGCTGACTCCTGGGATCTTGCCATTGCCCCGGAGATGAAGATAACTTTCTGTGCTGATGAGAAAAGTCCTAAACAACAGCTTGATGTCAGGCTCTTGTCTGCGGAGCCTGCCATGGGTAAGAGGGTCAAAGAATATCTGTCTCCCAAGGGCAGGGAGATTTATGTAGCCTCTGTATTGATGCCAAGGATGTGTCTGGTCTGGAGATGCTGCAGAAGCCACTTGGGAGAAGTCTGTAATGGGGGAGGGGGTTGCACTGCATCCACGGGCCTGTCCTCTGGGTCAGGACAGGAACCACTGCCTGTTTTGGGGAGAAGGTCCTCTGAGGTCTTCACCTTGTGTTCACTGGATGTCTGGGATGGCACCAGGCAACCAAGAGGGGAGGCCTCTAAGATAGCCAGCGGTGACACTGCAATGCCTGTTAATCTTCCCAATGTTCCACGGGCACTTGTGTGTTGCTGCTTGAGTGAGGGCCCTGGGACAGTAGCAGGAATGGCCACAGCTCCGGCCAAGGGCTGCTCCAGATAACTTATGGAAATGCAGAGAGAAGAGTTGATTCTACCAGCAACTGAGGAAGGTGGCCACAAGGAAGCAAGACTAACATGGAATATGGCCTTCCCTTGAAGAGCAAAGGCAAAGAAAGTGGGCTCACCGATGAGAATTAGGTGATCACAAAGGACGGAGCAGAAATCAAAATCAATCCTGAGCCTGCTCACGCAGAAAAGTCCGGGATCCTGAACAGTAACTGAACTATGTGAGCCCTCTGAATAGTGAATGTGTCACTTTAAGATGCTCGGTAAAGTGATTTTAGCATTTGTAGGGATGTTTTGCATGGCCCAGGGGACGTCTTGTCTTCAGGCTGTGGGTGCTTCCCCGGAACCTCTGCCGAGCCCCAGGTCCACAGTCAGGAGACAGCAAGGGCAGCTCCCACCCTAGGCTGTAGGTCCTCTCGGCTGTTACAAGTCAAGAGTTGCTTTCTTTCGGCTCCCAGAGGCCCCGGATGAAATTTAAGACTATACAATCTCAGGTCTAGCTGGGCAATGTAGATTTATCTTGCTCGGTGTAGGTTCCAGTCGCAGGAACATCACCCCTGTCTTCCCCTCCCTCGAACCCGAGGGCATTGGTTTGTTTCTGGAAGGATTCATCTAGACTCTCTGCTCTTCACTATCATTTGGGAGGAGATTGGCAACCACACGCAAAGTAGCCCCGGGTCAAAACAAACACAGAATTGACAAGGAAAGGGTCTAGATCACCTTGGGTCACAAGAGGAGACAGATGGTGCACTCAAATGGGGTGGTTGAGAGCCTAACAAAGAGGCTACTTGTAAAAGCTCTGAGAGAGTTTAGGGAAACCCTTAAAGGAAGACATGTCTTGGCCTGAAGCGGCAGAGAGCTCAGCTGTGACGGGGGCTGCTGGCCCAAGCCAAGGCCTGTAGAAGGAGAACACAGTGAATTCCCAGCAGCCCAGCACTTGGGAATCAAGGCCTGGACCTCGCTCTCCCCACTCTGATGGCCTGCTGGTGTCTCCCACTGACAGAATCCCAATGAACCCAGAGGCCAAGGGAGCCTGTTAATGCAGTCCCTAAAGATCACCTATCAGGGTGAAGAGAGCAAAGCCGGGCAGAGAGGTTCTGGAGGGGAAGATAGACAATGCCCAGCCCAGGGTCATTTCCCAGAGGCCACAGCTTCTTGGTCTCCAGCCAAGTTCAGCCATTAGGAGACACAACTTCCGTGGCCAATTTCAAAGCTCTGCTTACTGCTGGGAATGCATGTTTGAACAAAGCCTTTATTCTCTATTCCAACAGCAGGGCTGGAATTTAAAAAGCTTCATTTTCAAGACTGGCTGCTTTTGATCTTTCTAACCTGGAACTTACATTTTGGAGTCAAATAGAATTATTTAAACAAAGCATTTCAGTGATAAGCACAAAATGTTTTGAATTTTTTCTCCTTTCCCCTTTTGACACTACATAACATTCCTACTCAAAATGTAAGGACTATTCTGTGATCACATCTTACAACCAGAGCCTCTGTCAGCTTCCATTTTCCCGGGTCTTTGTTTCTTCAGCCTGTGTCCTCATCCAGGGGTGCTGGCGTTCCGGCCATAGGAGGCCCGGTCCTACTGCAGCCTGGCCTGGGGCAAGAACCACTGCTCCGAGAGCACTTCCCTCCCCTGACTCCTGCTTCCGAGTTTGGCAGAACCACGTGTGTCAGCCAATCAGTGTTCCTTATTAATTATACTTTACTCTCTTTTTGCTCCCCTGACTCCAACCCATTTTTCTTTCTTCCCTGATTTAAGTCCTTCTCTGACATCACCTTCTGTTCTCTGCAGCTGAACTTCCCCCAGCTCTAAGTCTGCATTTATCTTTTATTGTATTCCTCCTGCCTGGACTTGTCTGTTACGCGAATTGAGGTGTTGATCGGCGTTCGCATTCCTTGGAAATAACACTCGCTGTGCACTGTCCTAGGAAGAGTATGTCCTTGTGGGTCATAACGGAGCCCAGCCCTCCATGCTGTGGTACAGAGGAGTGCCACAGTGATGGCTATCAGTGCCTTGGAGGTAGCCTATCCGTCACTGAAAACAAATCTGAAACAGTAGAGCAACTGTTTTCACAGCCATGAACGCAAATAGAGAAAGCAAGGCCACATATCTCTAGCTGTTAAAGAGGTACAATAGGTGGAAAAAAAGCTCAGACATGGCCTGGCCAAAGCATGTTCCAAAAAATAAATAACAAATAAAAGTGATATGAAAATTCCCTTTAGAAAGGGTGAGCTAAGTTCCTATCAAAATGATTCTATGTCAAATGAAGGTCCAGACAGAGGAGAGCTAATGGGATGCCCCTTAGGGCAGAAGGACAGTAGCCTGTCCCGGTGCAGACACGCTGAAGGGTTACAAACTGCATTTACCTTTCACTTAGTGCTTAGTTCTGGACCTTGGCTCAAGTTTACTGAGCAGACTCACTAATTTAAGACAGAAGAGAAAAGTAGCTAGAAATTTGGATGCGATGCAATTTAACAACAGAGTTCTCCGCTATGTGATACAGAAGACGGTCTTACAATGAAACAAAGAGCATTTTGAACAAAGGGAGCCCAGGGGATCGACAGAATCAAAGCCACCGTGCCAGCTTGGCTTTTCTATCAGGAGACCAGATGCCAGTCCTCACCTCTGCCTCCGGGAGTACCGCTAGGAAAGGCAAACCTCCACTCAGCCCTGAAGCTGGCTTCTCCGCAGGTGAGCAGGACACGCTTCTCAAAGCTGGCTCACTAATCCGGGAGAGGAGATGGTTTACAGGCTCCTGGTAGGACTGGACATAACAATTAGGAAGGACAGAAACTTTGAAGAAGTGGTCAACCCCAGTTTTTGTTTGTTTTTTTGGGGGGGGTGTAATTAGGTTTGTTTATTTATCTATTTATTTTTAATGGAGGTACTGTGGATTGAACCCAGGACCTCGTGCATGTTAAGCACACGCTGTACCACTGAGCTATATTATACCACCCCCCCACCTCCAATTTTAAAATAAAGTCTCGACCATGTACACTAACTACATTTTGGTTGGCAGATTCCCCCAAGGAGGTACACTGAAGGCACTGAGAAAATTCCACCCAAACTACTCAGCCAGGGACAGCACATGGCATTGTTATTTCTGGCCCATTCTAGAGCTGGACGGTGTCTTCGAAATTAGTCTCAAGAAGGACATGTACTACCGTTGGCCATCGAGGGGATGCATACGCAACTTGTCCCTGCTTGGCTGCCCGGGTGCGGGCCATTTTGGAGGCTGAAAGGACAGTCCCACAAGGGGCTGGAATGAAACAAGGTTACTACTTTATAAAAGTAAAAGCAGATGCAGATTGCTTCCTTAGAGTTTGTTTGTGAGGCCAAGTGAAGCATCTCTTCACCCAGTGTGACCTAGAATGGCAAAACAATTTGTCTGGGTTGAAAGGAGGGACCTCTAATATTCACAGGAGTGATGTATCTTCTCCCGTGTCCAGCCTCCTGCCCTTCCCCAGAAATATGTGCCTCGCTTTGCAGCAAGCAGCAGGCCAACTTCAAAATTTGTTTCTGCGGGCTTAGAGGACCTTGTTATAGTCAACTCTTATTCACATAAACATTAACATGCAGGGGTAACATCTGGGTTTTATTGATTCAATCAACACATTGGGAATTTAGCAGCAAGTTAAGGGCAAGCAGTTACAAAATCTTTTTTTCTACATTTAAAATAAGTTGTCTTAAACAATCTACAGCAACCTAAAATCACAAGAACACACATGAATGGCTGAAGCACTTCTGTTATGCCTGTGGCAGGTTTATTAGTAATTTCCTAACAAATCTTCCAGTGCAAAGTGCACATAATCATTTGGACCCTCCATGACCATATTTGGCTCTCATTTTCCCCTTAAGTAATTGTGCCTAAATGTAAGAATTTGACGTAAAACTGGGCCAGTGTGCCCACAGCCTTGCTTTGAGGGCATCTGCTCCTCTAAACAACTCTCGAGAACACTTGGAGCTGATTTCGGCTGCATGCGCCATCCAGCCTGGTGGTTTCAGCCCTTTAACACCATGCTGCTTTGGAGAGAACTAGCTTCAATTTTAAACTGGTGAAAACATGTGGCAGGGCTCAGCGCAGCTAAAAGGCTAAAAGCTCGACATAGTATTGTCCTTTCTCCTCCTATCCCCTCGTTTTTAGCACTAGAAAGAGCAGCTCTGTTTTTGTAGCATTCAGCATTGTTAGAGGTTCTTTTTGGTTCTAGGCAGGGCAATGGCTTTAGAAGTGCCTTTGGTTGCTGTTCCTTGGCTTGAAGTCACAGCGGGTTTCTCCATATCTCCCTTGAGTTCAACAGGAAGGAGCCTACTAGATGTGTAACTTGAATAACTGGTGTCCAAGTCGTCCATATTTTCCTTCTTACTGGGCACAGAAGATGTCTTTTCATAAACAGTGGGCTAGAAATCAAAGAAAAGTCCTGGATTAATTTTCAGACACAAGGCAATATACATCAATTCAAAGAAACCAGGGACTACAGAGTCATCCAGGATTTGCAAGTTGGAGCTCTCTTTGGATGTGAGATATAAACTAATCACATTGTGAAATGGTTATTAAATGCCAAAGAAAGCTCCTTTAGCATCTTCAAGAAAACGGAATTGTTTAGTGCCTGCGGAGAACAAACTACAGGCACAATTTCAAATCCTCTGCCATGCAAAATGAAAGCAAGTATCCAGTACCACTCACTCAGGGAAGTCTACCCAGACATGGCTGTGCTCACTCCTCGGCATAGATTTCTAGACAAGCTTTGACATCTGCATGGATTCCCTGACAAGCACATCAGGATTCTTCTTCCTAACCTGGGTATAAAGTTGTTGCATACGGCCCACTCCTCACATCTTCACCATTCTCTGCACTGACTCCAGGGACTGGCTTCTAATCCCAGTCACACCTCTTGGCAGGTCTGTAGACCTCTTAGACTCTTGATGCCTCACTGTTAAATAAGGAAAATGGTATTTGCAAATTTACTCCATGGGTTTATTATGAGAATGAACTAAGGTGGTGGCCATGGAAGTACTTTGTGAGCTTTAAAGCACGAAACAGGTAGAGAGGATTTTAATAGGCAATTGTGTTTTCTCAGGTCGCCTCACCCCACAGTAGAGGAAATGGTTTCTAACCTGGCTGTCATGAAAGAAGCAGAATCCATTTTGACCTCAGACCCATTTTAAAAGGGATCACTTCTCATTAAATGAAGCTGAGGACAGAGTTCTAAAGGATCAGGGAATGTCTCAGGAGACCTAAGCAAGCAGGAAGCGGGGTGAGATGTGGGGGTATAGATTCCGCAAGTTCTCATTTACCTAGAATGATCTGGGAAAGAGCTCATAAGTTTAATACTCTGGTTAACTGAAAGTGAGTGTACTAAGGGTTAATAATCAGATTAACAAATTTCAAAGAATGTGAAAAGATTACATGTAACACAAAACAAATAAACCTGGTATGTATGTGTCTGTTTGTTTTGATCACTCTTGCGATACAAGTGACTGTGTTTTATAAACACAGTAGTAGGCACTTCATATATATTTGTCCAATGAATAAATACCCTCCAAAGGCTGCAGCAAAACTTCAGGTCATTTACGGCTTCTTGGTACCTATATTTCAAGAAAGAGAAAACTGACCTGCTGTTTACTTATTGCAGGCAGCCCCTAAATACGTGCCTCTCCAGACCATCACTCACGTATGACTTTGTAATGATGTATGCTAACTCTTGAGCTGGTAATTAATTAAAAAATTAATTTGTATAAATTTAGAAGTGTAAAAAGGTCCTTTTCTCTATAGATTCCTTTTCTCAAGAAAATTTCTGGGTTGCTTCTTTGTGTATTCTTTCAAGAAACAGAAAATACGTACAATGTGTTAGCATTCAGTAACACAGGCTGTGTCTCCTCACTGAAAGCTCCTTATGTTTAGAACATCAGGGTGAGAGCACAACGCTCTGATGCTCTCATGTCCCACTGAAGAAAAGGTCCTCTGTTTAGTACAGGACTAGTCCCTGTGACAGGAAACCTATCTTGGAAATTTCAATTCACAAAAATTTAAGTCACTTGACGTATATGTGCTTTTAAAAGTTGAATCCAAGTTTAATGCTTTCTCTTTTGACATTTCCACTCTTGAGTTACCATCTAAGTAGTTGAGGAAACGCTTTTCAACATGCCCACCACAACTCATAATCTACAGCATAGGGATAGAGACTCAGTCATTTGTTTTTCAATGTGCTGTATTCATATGTGGTTTAGCATCTGCATTCTTCTTCACTGTTCCATTATTAATTAAGTACTTGAGTCCTTAAAGTAGACTCAGAAGTTAAAGTCACCAGGAAGAAATACTCAGAAACAATCTGTATGGGCAAGATCAGTGATACAGGTATCTTCTTTTTTTCCAAAAACACTAGAAGCTCTGGCTTCTTCTTAGTTATCTTAAGACAATTCTCATAATTTTCTGGCAAATTTGGAAGGAGAGAAACTAAACCAAAATATCTGGTTGCTTCAGAGTAGAAACATGGTATTTCTCAGCTTCCGTCTAGAGCAAGATGAGAAAATATTACTTAGCCACATTTATCTATTTTATTTACTTATATATAATTTTAGAGATCTATTTTTCAAGCAGGTAGTATCTCCCCATGACTTAATATTCACAGTGCTCAAAATGTCCTCCTTGTCCCCTCCTTAACTCGGCTCCACCCCACCCCTCATCAAAGACAACCAACACCGTCAATTTACAGTGTACACTCCAAAGATATTTTTGAGCAACTTCAAGCAAATATCAGGTGGAATCAAATGGAACTGGTCATCATTTTAACAAGTCAAAAACAGCCTAAAAATGGCAATTTCGTATTGTTCAATCTAGTCCATGCATTGATGCACTTTCTTGTCACCTTTTTACACAAATGGTAGCCCACAATAATCACTCATTTACACTTTGATTTTTTTTAACTAACAATTATCTTGAACATCATTCTATGTCAATATAAAAAAGAGTTCGCATGCTTCTTTCAGCTCTGCAGTATTCTTTTGTTTGAATGTACCATAATTTATTTAGCCAGCTCCTTGATAATGGACATTCAGGTTGTTTCCAATCTTAACTAGTACAAATAATGCTGCTGTGAATAATCTTGTACTTGTGTCATTTTGTACATGTGTAAATATATCTATAGGGCATATATTTTAGAATTAGAACTTCTGGGTCCAAAGTTATATGGATTTGTAATTTTGAAAGAGATCACCATACTGCCTTCCACTGCAGCTGTACGAACTTACACTCTTACTGGCAACATTGTGAGTGTCTGTTTTCCTATTTCTTTTTCAATTTGGTACGTAATACATATTAAAACTAATATAGTCAGCCATATTTTGATTGAGTATCAAAACTGGCCTAAAACTGGCTGTACCTAAACAAATCACAATGTTCCTTGACTCCCTGGTAACATCAGTGCAAATCTATTTATCTCTAATAGATAGCAATATTTATTGCAAATGCTTAAAAGCTTCTGTGTATGTGTGTGTAGCTTGTAAAGTATCATGTGTGCATGTACTTTTGCATTTCTCTTTGCTAATTTGCAGCTGCATTAAGTTTAGGGTGCTATTGTTTAATCATAAGAGCTTTCCTGAAGATTGAGTCTTCCCTCTTAAATATCCCCTCATTGAAACTCTTCTCTGATGCTAACAAAACATGGACGCAGGCTGGCCCTCACTGTGCCCTTCAGGTCAAACTATAGCTTTCTTTACCAAAAACCAAGCTTCTCATCTTCTCGGAATATTAGCAGCCAAGGCAGATTCCAACTTTCAGGTCTTTCTCTAGGATTTTTTAAGAATTTCTTTTGTATGTTATAGGTTATCTAAAATTTAAGTTTCTCCTTTTATTCTCTCATAGATGATGGGATTCTTTGGGGATCTATGCTGTCACTGATGCAATTTTATAATTTTGCAAGTAACAGGGCAGAGGAACGAAAAGTTAAATTACCAAGGCTACAGAAGTTACTAAGATCTTCTGGGTCATGAAAGGTGTATAGATGGTGATGAGCTCCCATAAGATTGTAAGATAAGGGGGAGAAAGATGAGAGAGCAATTTCAATATTCTGCTCCAGGAGGAAAGAGTCTATCTAAATGACCATTATGAGACTGTTGGCCATCATTATCAATCCAAAAGACCATCTAAAATTCACTGTAGACTGTTCTCTAAGAGAAGATTTAAAAATCACTGTAGACTGTCCTCTAAAGATACTGATGTAATACACCATTTCACAGTGACCAAGAGGACCTGGCTATCATCAGAAAGCATCTTAGAAATCAAAGAAAAAAATTATTCTATCCTTAGATAAAATTGTGAAGAATTCATACCTGAAACACTGCAAGCAGTCTGAATAGATATAAAGGGACCAGAGAAGGTTGACATATAGGCTACTGATAGGATTAATGGGTAGAGGTTTCTTTATAAGAGAGCTCTCCAATCTAAAAATATAAAGAATAAGAGGCTATATATATATGTATATACATACACACATATATATGTATGTATGTGTATGTGTGTTTATGCATATATTTGTGTGTGTGTGTATATGTGTGTGTGTGTGTGTATATATATATATAATTACTATCTATAAAATGAAGAGGGGACAGATTTCAGCAGTCTGGAGCTAAACAGCATCCCTGAGCACTGCAGTCAGGATGGTTACACCAGGGGCTCCCCCAAGCAGCATTTCAATTGTTCCTCATCTTTGACATTCTTACCATTTGGGACTGCTGAAGAAAAGCCATTCCTACTGGAGGCAGAAGGATGGAAATGATGACCTTACAAGGTTCCCTCCAGTTCCATCTCTTAGTAATTCAGCACCCTGGGCCTGATTTCTCCAGATTATACTATTAATCTTGAAAACGGGGCTCCATGTGTGCAACGGGAGATGTGTCACAAGAAAATTGGGCTAAATATGTATATATATTTCATTATTCACTGGCATAACTTTAACCTGATGAACTCATCTGGTGATAATGGATGCAAAACTTGTAAGCTCTAGGCATAGCCCTGCAAGTTAATACCAGTGCATGATTACTAGAAACTGTTACCATTTCTCTGAATTTTGAGTAAAATACATGCTATTTAAGTAAAGTGGTTTATCACCATAGCAACCATTTCTAGAGTCACACATTCAAATTATAGGCCTGCACAAGGTCCAAGTGACAGAATATTCTGATACTAAGATCTTCAGCTATAGTTTTACTTGCAATGGTCACCCACTTTCTCTCACATCTCTGTGGTTTTCAGAAGGAAGAAGGAAGGGAAAGAAAAGCAAGTGGAAGAAGAGAAATTGACTTCCAAATATATAGATTTCTTATATAAGGCTGTCCACATAAAGAGCTAGGCCTTGTATAGAGTTAATGAAAACAAAATCTAACTTGCAAATTAGAGAAGA